TCATAAAACGATAAATAGTTTGTCAAATTTTTATTCATAAAAATGCAGTTTCAACTGGATTTTATAAAATAAAAAGCAGTTGAAACTGCTTTTTATTTTATAAAATCCGTCTTCTTGCGCCATCAGAGAGCCTTTTAAACAATAGATAGTCTATTAGCGTTGGTCAGTAGTAGTCCAAATTTAATACAAACATTTGTTTTTTGAAAATTTGATCACGATTTAAATACAGTATTTACTTTTAATATTACCGATATTTCATCGAAAAGAAAACGTGTTGTATTATCATTAAAAGACAAATTAAAGTATTTGTTTCCATTATCCGGATTTTTCCTTATCCGGACTACCTTTATCCCCAATTAGTCCGGATAATCGAGGTTCTACTGTATGTATTTTTATTATTACATATAAATAAACGTAGTAAGAAAGTAGTATATATTTTTCATTTTGGGGGGTCTCCAGAACGAATTAATTAAATTTCCATTAAAACCTATGGTAAATCGATAATCGGTTAACGAACAATTCGGATAGCGAACAAAGTCTTGGAACAGATTATGTTCGTTAACCGATCACTCACTGTATATGCAGTGAGCAGCTAACTTGCACATTATTGTTTTAATAATGTTTCTATATTTTACATTAATTAAAAACCTTTATTAAAAGATTAAAAATAGCAGCATTAAATATATAAATATAATTAATATTTACTATACAAAATAAATTGCTTTCTATTCGTATTTTATACTCTTTACATGATAAATATTGGATTTAATTTATTTTAAAATTTTTTGTTATGAAACATGATTTTAAATAATAAAAATAACAACAACAAGAATTCATAAAGTTTATTTTTATGAAATTTTGTAAAAATTTCATAAAAATAAATTTTGAAGAGAGGAAAAAAAAAATATTAAAATGACAGAATGTTACATTAATAAATATTTTATAAAGAATAGACACAAAAAATATTTTTAATTTAACTTGTCACATTTTAAAATTTATCTTATGTTTTCATACCTGTCTGGCCATAAGCAAAAATGCAGGCATTATAACCTTGGAAGGCATTATCTAAGATATCAGCACCCAAACTCTTATACACGTCTTCTTGGCTTGCATAATGATCATCATTTTCATTAAAGGACCAGAAACAATGATCAAAAGCAAATGTCTACATAAAAATATTTAAATAATGTTTATTTTTGAATTATATATTTAATAAATAATAGGAAAAAAAGCTAAACTCTTACCTTTGGTTGCTTTCTGCTGCTTGAGCATTATAAAAAAATAAGAAAATAATTTAGAATAATAATCATAATAATTAATGAATGATTAAATGTAGATAAAAATAATCAATTAAATTGTTTGTGAAAAAACTAATTAAACAATGAGAAATTCAGTATTAAAAGAAAAAAATAGGTAAAATAATAATTTAACAGAATTTAAAACTAGTTTTATATGCAACACTTAATATCTGAATGAAAAATAGTATAACAACAATTTAACAGGAGTATATTTCAAAGCAATGATTATTTTAATACATAGTATTTTGTTTTTCCTTTTTCCTTACTACTATCTAAGACAATAAATTATTGATAATCTTTATACAGCTAAAATTTCTTCTCTCTTCTGACAATATATCTTTACTTTGATTTCCGATACACTCGATGTCAGTACATTTCATATAGTTCTATTAAACTTGTCTCTTCAATATATTCTTCTAACATTTATATGTAAAACAGTCAATTTTTTAATAAATTTTATACTTAACAGTCATAATTCATTCGACAATTATGCTGAATGAATTATTTAAAAAAAGTAGATAAAATAATTTATTTTCAACGAAAAAATCATTTTCAAATAAAATTAATTTTATATTTGAAATAATATTGAAATGTATTATTCATTGAGTGTTTAATTCTTTCTTGACTAAGACCATAACCAATTATCAGAGCATATCTTGGGTAATCCATTCGTTATATCAGAATATGACATCTGTTATGCCCTAATTTAATAAAATCAGAATTGCTATTTATTCATTCTTTTTATACAAAAGATTGATTATTAATTAATAATTTAAATAAATTAAAAATTGAATGCTTCAAGAATACATGGTACAGGTACACATGTCAAGAGTCTAACCCAGAAGCCTTAATTTCAGTCCACTATCTCTGGGTTAGTTCATGAATAACTGAAATTTCAGGTTTATTAAGTAAGTATTTTGAAAGAAATTATATGAATAATGAATTAGCTTATTTTGTTTATATTATAATAAAAATGACTATATATCCTTATTTCAGATCTATAAGATTTTATAACAGCTTATATTTAAACATTACATTATAAAAGTTATAAAATTATAATATAAATTTTTAAATTGTCTAATTTTGATGATAATATTCAACAATGATCATGCATACAAGATAATTTAATAACTTATGAATGTAATAACTTAGTGCTATGTATAGTATAATCATGTAAATAATAAGTTCAAGAAGAATAAAATGAATTAAAATAAAGATTTCAACATAAACATTTGTTATAAACAGGGAAAGCCAAACAGGGATTTAACCCCACCCATTTGGAAAGAATTAAAAAATTAAAATGGCATATAATTTATATTTATTCTGTACCTGTTCACTTCCTTTTTAGTCTACTATATTGTATTAATATAGTGTATTTATATTGTAAAAATTAATAAACTGTTATGAAAAAGTAATGAATTTTTTTAAAAACTTTTGAAAAACCTTTACATGAGCCTAAAACAATTTTACCAATAATATAAAAATGTTTAATTTCTATAAAAATCATATATTTAATCTATAAAATACTTTCAAATTTTAAAATTAAAATTTTTTATCTCTCTTTAATAGGCAATAGTAAATTTTGTAGTTATAAAATTGTAAGGCTATTATTATTGTTATTTTACTGTTCTTTATATTAAATCTAAAAATAGGTTTTGCAAAGAAAATAATTATTTGTAAAAAGTTTTTATAGCTTCAAAATAATTAATTTAGGAAATATTTATAAAAATGATGATTAAAATACTTAAATAATAATAAAAAATATAAATTATTATTAAATATTTATCATCACTTATATTTCATATTTCTTTAAAGTAATTACAATTTAAAATAGCATTTAAAATTTATATTTTTATTTTCTAAATTATGTTTTTATATATTTTATGTTTAGAGGCAACTTTTACTTTGCAATACAGTACACATTTAAAAAATAAATATACAGAAATTTAAAGATATTACAAAATCAATATATCAATGTTTCAGTCATTATTCCAGAATTCAAACAATGGACTATCTTGTTTTTAATTTTCAAATGCTTAACAAAGATGTTGAAAGAAGACATTAAAGGATTCCAATTTTGTAGCATTGTTAAAATCTTCAATGAAAGAAAAATATTATTTGTTCACATAAATTTGCCAGATAATTGAAATGTAAATTCACAATTGCTTATCAATTGGTACCATAATCATTTCAAAAAAATTGTTAATTCTTATCATTTTAATTCAAAAACAGAAAATTTCAATAATACAAATAAATAAATAAAATAAAAATGATTTTTTAATTAATGTAAAAGTTATATATTAATATAATTTGGATTTTCATTAATAAGTTGGTCAAAGAATAATAAGTAATACAAATCTTATATTCATGACAATTAAATGCTAGATTATATAATTTTTTTATTAAATTAATAAATATAGTTTTATTTATTCAATGTGTTCTACTCGTAAGAAGCAGATTTTGTTGACTGTTACAGTCCTTATCTTACTGTCCAATTTCTATTCTGCTTAAATCTGTTATTTTATTCTCTATCTCCTTTGCCTTTTAAATATCTCCATTAACACTATCTCTGTACTCCTATCTTCCTTCTTAAAGCACTATACCAATATATGAGATTCATGATCAATAAAAGCAAGTCTTTGTGTAACTATAGATTTCACTATTAAATTATATTCTCCTTTCCATTTATCTGCTTTTTCCTTTGCATGGACTATAAATTTTTCATAGTGTAGTTGTTATTGGCACCCCTCTCAAATTTCTCTTTATTAGCCAGAGAGCAACTGGCAGCAGAGGATTTGTGCAACCACTGTGACTGCAGCTGTCTCACTACTGCCAATGGTTCTACCAATTTAATATGAAGAGAAATTAGAGATGATGCCAATTCTAATATGGTTAATCTTGTTTTCTTCTTGCATGTCTGTTGCTTATCTTTCACAATAATTCTTATTTCAATTTGTCAACATTACTGAGTTAGGTTACTAAAATGTTTGTTAAGAAGTTTTAAGTTTCAAAATTATTTTTAAAAATATTTTTAATCCCTACTACATTCATTTGAAAACATTAATGAAAGCTTTGTATTTCAATTCTTTATTTTATAAATATATTAATTCAATCAAAAGTATATTTAGATAAAAGATTTGTAAACAATACTATTTGCTCTAGGATATTATCTAGAACATTGTGTCTCAGTTAATCATAATGTCATAATATATCCTAGGATTTCCAAATAATCTCATCTAACATTATATCCAGAAATCAGGATTTGCTTTGTCATAGAATGTACTACAGTATATAATTTACATAAAATCAAACTGAGAATTGTGCAAATATATCAAATAAATATCTTAGTATTAAGATGTTATGTAAATATTTAATACATGTAAAATTATAAATAATAAAATATTTTAGCATTAAAAAACTATCAATAAGAAGAAAAAGTTCAGTCCTTAACAATACTGAAATTTATACATTAAATTATTAATGTAAAATAATTTAAAATTATTTAACTGAAGATATATGACATTATATAATAAAAAAAATAGATTAATAATATAAATTAAATAATTTATTATTTTCCAAATAATATTTTTGAAATTAACCTTGAAATTAAACATTGCATAAATTAATTATTGCTATTTTTATTACTTCTATATAGTTTTATCTTGTTCTAATGCACGATATAATTCAATTTGATATTTGATAAGGAAAATAATCTCAGTATTTTAACAGTAGCTATTAAAATTTTTAAAATATAAAATAATATTTTTTCTCTTTCTAATTTGATGTAGAAATGAATTTTCAAGACATCTTTACTATTTTCAATTAATTAATGTGATTATAAAAATTTGATGAATATAGTAAACTTGTAGAAAATTCATTTATCATAGTATATTATTTCTGAACAGAATTAAAACTTTTAAGAAGTGTTGATAAAATTTATAATCTTATTTATCTTTCAAGAATTGTTTAAATTTGAATGCTTAAACTTGAAAATAAAAAATTTATAATTTATACTGTCAACAAAACTCCAAAAAATTCTAAATAAATATATTATCATGAAACAAATGTAATAAAACAGTATTAAACCAATATTTTATCTTAAAAAATTCTGCTAAACAACAAATAGAGTGAATTAAAGGACCTTATATTACATTAAATTATTGTCATTACATCCAAATAATTTATTCAAGATTTTAGAATAATAAGAATAATTAAATAATTTAGAATATCAAATTTAGAAATCATTAAATAACAGTAAAAACCTTTTAAATATTTATTTTATTTTATATTCAGTATTCTGATTTTTATGATAATAAATATGCTTTCTGTTTTTAAAAAAAATTTGCGGTCTTTTATAAAAAAAGAACTTTTATAATATTTCAATATATTATGTTAAAGTTATATGACAATTTGAAATACTTTGTTATTTAAAATATTTGAAATGATTATTATAAATTCTATATCAATTTATAATAAATTTATTACTTTATGATTTGAAAATTTCATTTGATGAATTTTTAAAACTGCCGATATTATATTGTAAATAAAACTTCTAAAATTAAATTATGAACTTTGCATTAAATATACTTGTCAAATCAAATTTATTTAATTTTCTATTTTTAAGGAGATTCTAAATACTGTATTCACTTTTTATTAAATTTTCAGTAACACATTTCTGAAGCTGTATCTAAATAATTAAGTATGGAATTTGATTTTTATCCTTTCATTTGGCTTATATAATAAATAATTTTCAAATATATCTATTTATTATGTCTGAATTCTTTTGAACTTATTCATTTAAAAGATTTAGTAACAACAAAATTTAAATAAACAAACATTTATTTACTTGAATTTTGTTGTTAAATGCATAGAGATATCAAAAACGTTTCGTTTTAGTTTAAGAAATATAATTTGAATAATAAACACTTAAAACTTTTTATTCTCAAATGAACAAAGATACATATC